AAAAAAAAAAAAAAGTACTTTTATAAAATTAGTCAAACGCATTCAAAAGAGCAACTTTTAGGGTGATTATAAAGTAGTTTCTTCATCTTTTATTGTATTTATCCATCCAATTTTTTATTTATTTTTACTTGCACCTTGAGTTAGAAAACATGCAACCTATAGTCGTTTAGAAAAAAAGAAAAAAGAAAAAGAAAATAATGAATGTAATACAAATATGCAATCATGTTGAGCCCATTATTGAATTTAGCTACTTTGAAAAACGAATGCTTTTTATTTATTTTATCCAATTTTTAATAATAATAATGTATGAACTATGAACAAGAAGATGGAAATTGCATGAAATTATAAAGGAAGTAAACTAGCCGTTTTACATGCTGCTAATTTACGACTTCATGTTTAGTCAAAACCGCGTTAATTCAATGCCGAAGAAATTGAAAGCAAAACCTTAGTATTTAAGAACAAATTAATTGGAATAAACGTAACACATAAAGAGAAGCAACTGCGCAAGTTGCAAGCATGTGTTAATATTAATTTATTTGAACCCTAGATTTTTTTTTTTTCTTTTATTTCGATTTGACGTAATTTATGTCATTGTGGAGAATTTTAAAGATGCTTCCATACAATTTGATCATATTTGATGCCAGACAGAAAAGTGATTATTCTGCATGCTGTAGTTCGATAGGTGATTAACAAAAAAGAACGCAAGAGAAAACGTCAAGAAAAATAAGAAAATCATTATTATTCATCCAATATGAGAAAATAACCCACAAGCGGGATTAAATAGCTAAAAAATCATAATTATCGAAATTTTACCAAAAATAGCAAAACCTCAATATTCATACCAAAAGAAAATACGTAATAAGAGAAATAATGTCCCAAAAATCGGGTTCAAATTGAGTTCGTAACAAAAAAGAGCTTTCCGAATTAGGGTTATGAGCGCTATTCTGATAACCGTAGCCAAAGTTATAGTCAAAATACCGAAATATATTAAAAAACGGCCCCAATTAGGAAAGATCGTCGTTTACTTGCTATTTTTACGCTGATCCACCAACTCATGGTATCTCAATGCCATCAACGAACTATCAGACAACTCGGCATCATTTGACTCGGATCATCCTGCATCATTGGAGCCTTGGCACTTCGATGATCAAATCAAAAATCGAAATTGGATAATGTATCAGTATGAATCTTACCTGTAACATCTACTCTGTGTAGTGAACTAGCGAGCAACATGAGGATAATAATCTCAGTTTTCACCACATCCTCAACGACACAGGTTACTCAAGATCAAACAATGCTCAAGTTAACATTGGGAACACTTGGTTCACCAGTCTCTCTACTACCCAGCCTACTCAAGATCAAAATTATCTCTTCACCAGAACACCCAGGGCTAAAAGGATCCATATCATATTACCAACCTCAATTTACATCAGATTTTAACGATCAATGTTATTCAAGATCAAAAGATAACTAACTTAACCCTAAGGTCAATATCAATTTTCACCAGATTCTCAATTAACCATTTTGGAAGGATCCCAACACTTTTAAAACTTGATGATATTAGTCAATCTCGATTTTCACAGTTATCCAGACTGAAAAGATCGGATCAATCTTTGTCTTCACCAAGATTCTCAGTAATCCAGGCAACAAAGATCCACATGAACATAGAAACTTGACGCTGAGTTGATTCAAGACCTCTCTGAGATCATTATTCACCCAAGTTACTTAGAATCAAAATGATTCTCAACCTAGGATTGATCCAAGTTTATTTGCTCCAAGACTACGTTGAACCACTTTATCGAAAATTTAATCTGTTAAAGAAAAGACAATTTGTTCATCTGAATTTTGTCATAAACATCTAATCCGAAGTTACTTAAAAAGAAACCAAAGCAGCCGTAACATTTACATGACTAAAACAAGAAGTTTGAAGGCAAATCATCTCAATCATGATCTTTAACTGCGTATATATATAATGTGGTTATGCTACAAGAAATTTAACATGCATACATTATGTGGCATTTATTCAACAAATGGATATCAGTTTTCCTCCCGCCAACATTCTGATGCTGTAATATGCAAAAGACAAATTTTTATGAAGTACCAAGGTTAAAAATAGAAGAAGGGCCACAGATAAAGAGATCCCACAACAAGAAATAGACCAGAAAAGCTATAAATGCCCAGAGTATTGGTCCTAGGTGGTTCAGTGTCAGATAACGGTGATAATTGGCTTCTAAACCATTTCTTCTCCAACTCCAAAATTTTACCTTCTTCTCTGAGTCCAGCAATCGCTCTTGACATATCATGGACCAAAGGTGAACCCTTTGGGAAAACCTACGATACATTAATTAATTATAAGAATACATGCGTACACATACTGATACACCTAACCACCTTATTTTGTCCCAAAATAATAACTGACAGATGCATGTCCTTATCATGCTACATGTACATCATTTTCTACATCATTTTGATATTGTGTCACGTGACAACACATCATTGGACAGTTATATTTTAAAAAAACACACTTTTCGCCCACAACTTTTTGAACTCCAATAGAATGTACACAATGATGTCAATCAAACAATGTACACTTAACATTATTCTGTCCTTATAAAGAGGGGCAGTGACCACACGTTCACAATCACATTGTTTGGGGAAGAACAGAATACTTACAAAAGCGAAGCCATTAGTTGTTTCTCTGGAGTCAATCATGGCGAATTCATGTGGATACTTAGCAAGGAATAGTTTAATGTAAGGAATTTCATCAATTATAGCACCTACTCCTCCATTTTTACTTCCTTTTCTTAAAGCCTCGTAATATTCCTCAGGTGAACTATGAGGCCGAAGTCTGTAATCCTTAACATTCGGGTTGTTCATGACATGAAGTCCCTTTATAAAAGAATCTTGGCCTATGTAATCGTTTTTTGTCAATCTTATCTGATGAACGGTCAACAGTGAACTCAAATTTGCAGTATAACATGATGTCAATATCAGGACTACGAACAACCAAATACCCACAACAAATCTTGATAGATTACTTTGTAACTTTTCTCCTGCAAAACAGAAAAAACACAATTCACTAACTGCAAATGCGTCCTTATAACTCAAGTTTATATGAACAAAACAGTTAACTCTCATAGAATGCCTACTTAATTTCAATGCCTTTCGTTCAAGTAAAACTTGAAAAAAGAAAAATGCCCCTAGCGCCTTTTTTCTTCGAAGAGGTTTTCCTTCCCACGTCTGAAAAATACTAGCTCAAACAAAGTCTCTAACGAGATTAAGTGTACTCAGATTATATCTACTCTGAGACTATTTCAGTTCCAAACAAAACCATGTTATTTGACTGCATAGTATCATTTTGGGGAATTTCTATTAAATTAATCCATTAGAACCAATCTGCAGAGTTTCTAGACCTCCATGCAGTATTTTTTTCGCCGTGTATGCAGGGCCGGCCCTGAGAATTTAGAGGCCCTAGGCGATTGATTATTACGAGGCCCTTTGTAAGAAATAAACACCTTCACAACTCTCAGGATTATTCTTTGTAAGAAATTCAAAAATATCTTCGAATTGAGGAAGAGTCAAGGGTACGAGATGGGAATGAACATTCTCATTAGGGCACTTCCAAAGCCCATGCCATGGATCAACCGAACAAATACAACAAGGATTCCAAGAAGAGAAAATCCACAAATTCCAACAAAGATAAGAAGAACACGAAGAAATTCAAAATTTCTTGTTATGTGAGTAGTAAACTCAAACATTATACTTGGGATTATAGACATCGCAAACAACCAATGCAAGAAGGAAAAGTAAACTCCATTGACAACATCATTGCTACCTTGAGCTTTGTGAATTCGGTCAAAGAAAAGGTTCAAGGATGGTGGTATGATACTTGTGCCACCATACATGTGTGTTATAATAGATCACTTTTCAAAATCTATCAAAAAGTGGATGACGAACACATTCAAATGGGGAATGAAATTCAATCAAAGGTTGTTGGCAAAGGAAGCATTGACTTACAATTTACATCCAACAAGAAGATCATATTAATAAATGAATTACATGTACTAGATATGAATAGAAATCTTGTAAGTGGTGATTTGTAGGGAAACCGGGAATAAAGTGCACATATGAGTTGGGCAAATTTATAATTTTTCGGAATAGAGTATTTGTTGGAAAATGCAAACTTATACTTTCCCGAAATTGTGTATTTGTTGGAAAAGGTTATTCTAGTGATGGAATGGTCAAACTTTGTACTATTGACAATAATATCAATAAAACAACAAATTTAAATTATGTTGTTGAGTCTATTTCTTTTGGTATGATAGATTAGGACATGTTGGCTTTTCTTTAAAAACAATGATTAAAGCCTGAATGATTTCATGTGAAAACATAGAATATAATAAATGTAAATTATGTGTTAAGTCTAAAATGAGTAAGAAACATTTTCATAGCGTTGAAAGGAATTCTAATTTGCTAGACTTAACATTCCGATATAAGTGAATTAAATGGAATGCAGATGAGGTAATAGATATTTCATAACATTCATAGATGATCATTCTAGATTTTGCAATATCTCCTTGACGAAAATAAGGATGAAGCATTTAACATGTTTAAAAAATACAAAATCAAAGTAGAAAATTAATTAAATAGAAAGATTAAGGGTGTGTTTGAGCCACATTATTTTGGAATAGTAGATTGATGGAGAATGAGTGATTGAAAAATAAGGAAAAGTTATTGAAGTGATGGAAAATATTATTTTATTGAAGAATGTGTGTTGAAAATGAGTAGAAGAATGAAAATTTTAATGTGACTCAAAACGGGGCTAAATTCTCAGTGATAGGGGAGGTGACTATTTTATCTAGTGAATTTAATCTTTCTTTTTTTTTTTTGTGAACAATATGGCAGTGGTGCACTTAACTCGAACAAAATGATTTGGCTAAGAGCAAGAATATGACACCAGTTGAAATGATAAATGTTATGTTATTAAATTCTAAGTTGCTATCTAACTTGTGGGATGAAACTTTATTAAATACGTGTCACATAGTTAATAGAATTCATTCTAAAAGATTTAAGGTTTCCCCATATGAATTGTGGAATGGGATAAAATTGAATTGATTATTTCAAAATATGAGGGTGTCTTGCTTATAGTAAGAACACGAATCCTAAAAGGACTAAGTTATCCTAGAGGGATCAAATGCGTGTTTGTAGGATATGCCTAAAATAACAAGGCGTATCGTTTATTAAACTTGGAAACCAATGTTATAATTGAATCCCGTGAAGTAGAGTTCTTTGAGAATATGTTATCTTCATATAATAATTCTCTAAGGAAATCTCAAGTGGAGATTTCTAGCCCTACAAGATCACAAGTAGAAATGCCTTTCGAGAATGTTGAAACAGGTGAACTTCATAGAAGCAAAAAAGCTCGAAAGGAGAAAGTGCTAGGTCCCGATGAATTAGACTCTCCACTAATTTCTTTCTGTGTAGTTTAGAGAAATTCGAAGAGTGTCACAAGAACTACTCCATATGTTATTCAAGTAAAAACCGATCCTAAAAATTATCAAGAGTTAATGTCATCTAGAGATAGCACATTTTGGAAGGATGCTGTAAATGATTAAATTGATTCAATAATGTCAAACAACACTTGAAAATTAGTCGATTTATCACCTGGATCAAAATCTATAGGCTGCAAATGAGTATTTAAGAGAAAGTACAATGCGGACGGTATTCCTAATTCCTTTAAAACTAGGTTAGTGGCTAAAGGATATCAACAAAAAGAAAGAATTAATTACTTTGACACGTATGAACCAGTTACACGAACAACATCAATTAGAATTATATTCACTTTAACTTCAATCTATGATATGCATATACATTAAATGAATGTTAAAATGGAGTTCTTCAATGGGGATCTCGATGAAATCTATATGGAACAACCGGAAAGATTTGTTCTTCCCGAAAATGAGGATAAAGTATGCAAGCTAATAAAATCCTTATATAGATTAAAACAAGCACCAAAGAAATGGCACGAAAAGTTTGACTTAGTAATAATGTCTTTTGAATTTAAACATAATATTGTTGATAAATGTTTATATTCAAAAGTATGTGATATTAATGTTGTGTTCATTTGTTTATACGTGAATGACATGTTGACTGTGAGCAATCAAATGAAAGGTATAAAAGAAACAAAGATGTTTCTATCTTCCACATTAAAATGAAAGATCTTGGTCAACTGGATACCACACTAGGTATCAAAGTCACCAAGACTAGTGAGGGTTATATGTTAAGCCAATCACATTATGTTGAGATGTGATTAATAAGATCAAACACTTGAACATTAAAGAGACTAATACTTCATTTGATCCAAGTTTGAAACTTAATGATGGAAGAGTTATAGCACAAATTGAGTATGCAAGTGATATCAGAAGTCAAATGCATGTTGTGTAATATACAAGACTCAACATAGCATTTGCAATTAGTAAACTTAATCGGTTTACTAGCAATCCAAGTAAAGAACATTGGAAGGCTATTGAGAGGGTTCTTGGTTATTTGAAGAAACTAAAACCAAAGATCTACGTCTTCAATATTCTAAATATTAGAAGGATTTACCGATACTAATTGGATATCTAGTGTTGGTAAGAAGAAACCAACCTCGGGTTGGGTATTTACCCTTGGAGGAGGTGTAGTCTCTTGGAAATACAAGAAACAAACATGTATTACTCACTCAACTATGGAATTCGAACTTGTGGCATTGGCTGAAGCTGAAAAAGAAGTTGAATGGTTTAGCGATTTAATGTAAGAAATTCCATGTGGAGAAAAGAATAATTCTTCCATATCTATCTTGTATGATAGTCCAACCACTTCAAGTAGAGCATACAATGAAGTGTATAATGGTAAGTCTAGATATATGAGTCTAAGAGGAAATTAATCAAAGATGAAATAATTTCACTTATGTGAAGTCAAATGAGAAATTAGTTGATTCGTTCATTAAACTGCTCACAAGGGACTTAGTGCAAACAAGTAGCAGGATGGGGTTAAAACTCCGTAATTAAATCCACCAATGACAACAACCACAACAGACTATACTAACAAGTATACTTTAGGTTTAAATGGTAACAACAGGTCATTCGATAAGTGGATAAAATTCAGCACTTATTTTTTCTTTTAAAACCCTAACCTAGGTTAAAAGTTCACGAATAGGAGGGTTGAATTCTATAACTCTTAGTAAAGTTCAGATTAGTAGATCAAGTATCTCTAAAAGTGACAAAGATACTGCAAGAACTTTACCTATATAAATTTCGAAATGGTGCCGCTTTAATAAAAAGTTTGAGTTTCTCTCTTAAAAGTTCATAAATAGGAGAAGCGTAAGGTCATAAAAGTGTTAAACGAGATTGTGTGAGACTTGGAACACATAATACTTGTGTGTGATTTCACCGGTATCATCACAAGAAATAATAGGTTCAAACCTTTCAAGCTACATAGGATTTCGATGATTACTTTGTGAGATGTATAGTAAGGTTGGATTTGAATCAAAAGATATCCATACTTTATGTATAAATGTCGTTAAATTAGAGTTTGTACTCATTTTATATTTGAACAAGTGGGCGATTGTTGGATATTGTTCAAATTAATAGTGAGTAGTGATTTTGGAAGTGATGGAAATAGTTAACCATGAGGACAACGATTCATAATCGTGTCCAAACCTTCCATTTTGGAGATTTCTTGTTGCTAGTTTTATTTTCGTTCTTCATCAACTTTTCTCAACGGCCCCTTCTAACAAATACAAGGAGTTACTATGCATCTTATCCTTGCTTCTCAAAAAGAAAAGCAAACCATTCTGTTACTTTGACTCTTTCATATTAAAATTCTTCACCTACTTTGGCCATTTCTTACTAAAAATAATAAATAAATAAATAAAATAAGTTAAAAATGTTCCAAGTTAATTGACTCTTGGTCATGAAATTTTTAGAATTTAGCTTCCCCCATTTTAGGAATTTATATGTGCAATGATACAGTAGCTTTCGTTTTGAATTTGTTGTTCATCGTCAAAAAGGAGTAAAAACCTGGTTTCCTTTTTCTACTTCTGTTTCTACGGTGAAAAAAAGATATTCTAAGCTCTGACTAATATCACAAGCATTATATGCCTATTTCTAAAAGAATACAATGGCAATGCGTTTATTATGTTTATTAAAATATATAGTGCTGTCACCTACACCATCAGTATGTTTCAAATGGGAAAATAGGTGGGAAAAATGATAAGTTGAAAGACCTTACTATGAGCATGAACAAGAGTTGAAGCGGCGAACCAAAATATTGTCCCAATTTGCCACGCTGGAGAACCTTGGAACTCTACATTAATAGGATGTTCAATAAGCCAAACAATAAAACCCGTCAGAATGAAGAGGCCTGCACTCATAATCCATAGATCCACACTAAGTGGCTTTAAGAAGAACCATGGGTCGTTGTTGCCCAATCGTGCTACCACTCCAGCACCTAACTCTGTGTATGGCAATGTGAAGTCAACATATTGTGACCTGTTGGAAGTGATAGTTATGTCCCCTACGGCAGCATCAAAAGTCTAGTCCATTCATCACCAGAATACAGCATGAGTTAGAATTGTTGGGGATATAGTATAAAGGTTGTTTTTTATGTGGACAATAATTTGGCACAAGTTTAACAACACAAACGATGTTTAAACCACGAAAGAAAATGGTAGAACCAAAATAAGAAGAAGAAGAAGAAGAAGATAGATAAATGATCCGAGGGAAGTGATAACACTCTTTCCTTAAGACAAATTTGCCCCGCAATGGTGTTAACGGAGTAACGGCAATTGTCTCTCAAGATACAACGGATTACTTGTAGTAGAAGCACTTCCAACTATAAGGTCACAACATGACTTTCAAAAACTTGAAATGGAAGAATAACATGTCCTCTAATACATACCGGAAGCATGTAGAAACCCAAAATTGGATGCTTTTCACAATTTAGTACTCATAATAATGTGGATAAATTAAACCATGTAGTTTTGCAACCAACTGAAAAATAAAAACTTTATCTACATTACTTGAAATATGGAAATGAACATACCTGCAGATAGACATGATATACGAGATCACTGTAACTTCCATTATGTCTGTAGAAGGGGATAAATTCATAAAGAATCTTATACTGCAACCTCTGAATGGCCGCATTGAAGACGTCCACACAGAAACCATGGAATTTTGTTTTATTCGTTTGTTGATCATAACTCAAGCCTACCAATTGGTGGAACCGTGAATTCGCTGTAATTCCAATTCTTAAACGCCTGCCACTCATTTGAAGTAACCAACCTTTTGGAGCAGTTGTAGAGAATCCAGGCCAAATAATGGTTTTGAGACCGTCAGAGGAACAACTGTCCGTGAATTGATATATTTCCTTAGCGAATCCACGAGTTGGTGTCCAGAAACCTACTCTTCTTCCCCCCTTACCTATCACATTCACGATTTCATAAGTCTCATGAACTAATTTTGCATTTATAAGTTGAAATTCACCACCTAAACCTGTAAAATTACAACTTGAAATCTCATTCAGGAGGATTGAACACTATTAGAAACTCTTGTGTGATCTAAGTCTGTTAGGTTCAATTGAAAACCTCTTCCCCTATTAAGAAAGAACTTTATTCCTGCTCTTTCAGTTGCCTCTGCCAATGCCCATATTGCATCATATGCCCATATACCAAACACATTTAATCCCCTGCTTTCCATATCAATCTCGCTGTGCTGAAATTCCCTTCTCCATCTCAAAGTGAAATTCTGGAGCTTGCTTGATGCTGGAATATAAGGTCTGAAACCAACTACTCCGGCCATTGACTCAACTGCAGAATTTTGTAAATCCAATAAATTCATTGTTTTGCTAGTCATAATCCAAGCATAGTCCTCACTCATCATTTCCAACATTTTTGCATTTTTAAAAATTTGAGATGCAAGAGAAACTGATGTATGTACAATAATTATTGATATTCTCGTAGTCCTGAGATTATGAAGCTTTTTGATGATTTCTTCATCTGTAGCCCTCAGAGTAATGGCAATGTCATTCACGGCATCCACATCATTATCACGAAAGGTGTCGCGTACATGAGATAGAATTTGTCTGGCATCTGCAGAGTCCTCGTAGATAAGTACAACAGTCCTCCATTTGAATGTTCCCAAAAAGGCAGCAACACCTTTGAATTGAGAGGTCTCATCTTGTGCAACTTGCAACAAATAAGGATGTTCATTCGATGATGATACTGAAGAAAATGAAAGTAATGGAACGTTAGCTTTGTCACATAGCGTCGCCAAGAACGACTCTTCACTTGACATCTCAGGGACCATGATAGCATGCACTTCAGCATTCTCCAAAAGATCAAATGCTGCATTAAGAAATAATGAGCAATCCAGAGTCAAAAGGTGTGTAGATCATTTGGAAGAGAAGGCGTCTCTCCATGTGAGATACCCGGGTTTGAATCCCTTCAACAATATTCTCTCTTTTTAAACACGGTAAATAATAATTAAATATTAATTAATAATTGTACTAATGTTCAACAAAAGAAGGGTAGCTCATATGGTATTAAATATTAATTAATAATTGTACTAATGTTCAACAAAAAGAAGGGTAGCTCATATGGTAGAGAGGTCATTTTGAGCACTAGAGGTATGAGTTCAATTCTTTCTTTTTCTACTTTTTGTTTAATTTTTCAATACAATAAATAATAACTAAACGATTATATATTATAAGTTTTCGTTTTTGAAAAAATTTCTTTGAAAAATTTGTCGACTCAAATTATTACTCTATGATATATATACTTTTATTGTTAGGTTTTATTAATTTATTTTATGAAATTCAAATTTGGACAATCTAAGTGTTGTTCTTCATTCTTTTAAAAGTTCGAAAAATACTTTTTCTTTTGAAGTCAAAAATAGTTTTAGTTTTAAAAATCATTATTTTCAAAATTTTGCATAACTTTCGCTTAAACTCGGAGTTTGTCTTTACCATTTAATCATGTTTTACGTATAAATTGTTTCGCTTGAATTCGTAAAAAATTTAAAACTTGATCGTACATGTATGATTGAAAAATGTATTTTTTTTCTTATTATTTTATATTGTATTGGATTATATTTTTAAATGTATATGACTTTTTCACGTTTTAATGCATTTATATATTGATTGAAATTTTTTTAACATTATTTAATTAAATATTAATAAACAATCTTATTATTGAGGTCATCAGCGACCGTCATAGCTGACTTAAGATTCTAGATCCTCCACTGACTACGCCTGAATTCATGTGCTGGATTTATTCTAGGTGCATGGGCTTTCTTCTACTTTATTGCAACTTCCCTCAACTATAAGTGTGCTGTGTGCACACACGAGAAAAAAAATAAGTGCAGAAATGAAAAAATAAAACACTCACCAGAAGCTATAAAATCAGAAGGTTCTCCTCTTGAGTCTCTTGTTTCAAGAGCAATCCTTGTTTTGTACTGTTCATTGAGCATGTAAAAGTCTGAAATTGCAATAGTAATGCAGCTGTGGACAACCTTCCCCACCCATGATTTTGTGTCGAGAATGATACCAATCTTGATGGTGTTTGTTTCTTGGTTACTGTCTTTCGATTTATCAAATATCTGTTTTGAACTTTTAAGCTTATCAGGGTATGGTTGACTTCGAAATTGACAGAAGAGTAGAAATAAGATGAACCCTTGGATCTTCATTTTCATCTTCAACTTCACAGGTTTTTCTGAAGGTGATCTGCCTTCTGCAGCCTGCGCATTCCCATCTATAATCACAAACTAAGTCAAAGTCTTTGATATTTATTTTTCTGTTTTGGAATTTTTGTATGTTCCATTTCTAAAATGTGGTGGGATGGATACTTGTATATTGTGTGTCGATACACACCGTTCAAATACATAAATCAAATAAATTTTTAATTTGTTATGAAATTAAGATCAATTGCTAAGATAATGAGAAATTGTTGATTATTGTTATTAGATATTAAGATCAAATACTTAAACCTATGTGACGAAATAATTTTTGTCAATATCACCAAATTCGTCGGTCGAATATTGACTCAAATTTTGTCAAAATTTAAAAGGCCAATGTTTTTGAAAAAAAACCTTGTGTTTCGAAGAAAAGAATAATGTTATCTAATATCACTAATACTACAACATGAGTTTCGGTGGCACTACGTAATAAATTCAATAAAACGTTGAATTAAACTATTCATTTGATTATACATCTCATTTAATGTCACTTAGTGTCATCTAAACTAGTATTGTAACATCATGTTAAATAGCATTATTCCTAAAAAGGGGGGGATACCATTGATATTTATATCTTTGACAATATTATAAAATTGAGAGAAATGAAAAGAAAGTAAAGAAATCAATAGACTTATGTATTCCATTGAAAACTAAGGTCTCATATTTATACGGAAGAATTAGAATTGCAAGTGATAAAATGATAATAATAATTAGGGCTGCAAGGATATAATTGTTATTCACTAATAAACATATTATTTACAACACTCACACTTGAATTACACATTATAAAATGTCTATCTCGTTAAAACTTTGTCAAGAAATCCCAGTGCAGCAACACTTGAGCTAAGGAAAAAGAGTACATTTGCTCATCCTGATTTCAATAAATGAAAATTATTATATCGAGTCATCCATGTCTTGCATGTCAATACCTTCAATATTGCAATTTTGGTATAGCATGTTTCATGTTGTCTTGTTCAAACCTTCAAGCAATATCTTCTTCATAGATAACATTTATCAATCTTTGTTTGTCTTTAATCACATGATGATTGTTGAAAAATAGATCGTATTGTTGTTCTCCAATTTGTAACATATAAAAAGTATTATTTTGAAGGTAAATGTCTTATAGGTTATGTACATCATTACACAAAGAAATGTCTCGTTCAAACCTTATTAGGAAAAATCTTGTAAAAAAATCATAATGAATGAAAAATGGTACATTATTCTTTTGAGTACCTTACAAAATAGTCTTATTAAAAATCTTGTTAGTAAAATCCAATGACACAACATCTTGGTCAAAGAACAAGAGTATAACGCGTATATTACTCCCTTGTGACAATATTACTTGAATTATATGTTTTAGTCATATTATCCTTCAATGTAACATTAATAATCATGCAAGATAAGTTGACTATAATCACGTTTCAAATTTCTTGCATCGTCAAGATAACAAGATATGGACTTGTGTTGCATCCATCACGATCCTTGCAATGAAGCGGCCATAGAAAGTCGCTAGTTCATGGAAGCTTCAAACTTCCGTATTCATTGTATTGAGGTTCGTGCATTATATATTATAACTTCATTTTTCTTATTTTTCTTTTCGCATAATATACATCTTTAGATTTTATTTGGCCAACCATTTATTCGACTGATATGCACTCAACAAATTATTTTGATTCCTCGCTATTCATAATTTGATGCAATGCATCGTGCACAAAAATGTTGTCAACAACTTTTTTCTTTTTCGATTCCTTTTTTTTCATAACGACATAATTTATAGAAATATCTCAATTTTCAACATATCAAGTACCTGGATCTCTTATGGAATTTTATAATTTATTATGTCTAAATACTCATCAAGTGTGCATGCCTCCTTAATGGGATTATTTTTGTTAATTTTTTTATTTTCATTCAGATATTTTTGTATTAAATTCGAATATCATCACGCTTCAAACCTACAATAAATTAATTAAATATTATAATAACTAATTATCCTCCAAGACGTCAATTCGACTTGAAGTATTTAATGTTGGTGTATGTTAAGTACGTTTTTATATACTTATTTTACTGTCAAAACATGAGCAATTGTTGATTAATATGTTGGAATACAGCTTAATTCTATACAATTCATGTTTTGCAGGATAAGTTATGAATGTAGCGGAAATAAGGAGAAACAAGTTAAAAATGACCAAAATGGAAGAAAGTGAAAGTTCGGGGACTAAAGTGTAAACTCAAAAATTATGTCGGAGCTCACGATGAAGGTTCGAGAGTGATAAGGGTCTATTGGAAGCAATTAGAAGTCAAAATGGAATGGAATATTATCAAAATCAATTTTCAATTCGCACAAAATATATTTCAGATTTTTAGTCGAAGATTGAAACCCATTTTTGGCATAGTAAAAGTCTGAATTAGAAAAGATCTATTTCTAACAAAGTTGTAGCTCTTTGAGTTATCTTTCTAAATTATTTTGAATTGTCTAAATTGGATATCGAAAGAGAAACTTATAACCAAATTACGGACTGCTGTGCAGAGACAAAAAATCCGCGCGCGAAAACAACTTTCATTATTCGATTAGAACTCTTTTGGAAACCAATTTGGACGTGATTTTCATCCAATTTCCAACTCCTACAAATAATTAACAGAAGAATACATATGGAGGATGCCCCATACACCATTCTTCTCCTTTTTGGCTCAAGAAACTTATGGAGAACTAAAACTCTTGGTGAAGCTACGAAAGAACTCGGTTGGAATTGGTGATTTCATGTCTTTTATTCATTTAATTTGATCTTTTCATTGTCAAATAATACTAGAATTTAGATNAATACTAGAATTTAGATTTTCATTCTCTTGAATTTATATTAAAATCGGTTTAATATTTACCAGATTTCTCATAGATTCCGCCATACTTTTTCTATTATTCAATCAAACTATTTATTGAGTTTCAATTTCAATTATTTGTGGTTGAAATTGGTTTAACAATTATTATATCCTTCATAAATCCAGCCATGCTTTTTCTATCATTAGATTAAGTTAGTTGTTGAATTTTAATCTCAATTTCACTTTATTGGCGGATTGACTACTGCCTTATGCTTGATGTATATGGTCGATCTTTGATCTTGTTCCAATAAAATTGTGCTAATATGTTTTAAGTCTATTTTAGAATTACATTTGTAAATTAAATATATTTTCACGATATATCTTCCGATTAGAGTGTCGGATGAAAACCTCTAATTGTATTATAAAAATGAATAATTGATGTGATTAATCCAATTCAATTGAGGGA